TTCTTGCTCATTCAGCATTCACCGTAAGTAGGCTTCAGAGTAGGGTTTCCGAGCATAATAGGCCCATCAAACTGAGTACTTGTACGTCGATAACAGAAAATTAAGCGAAGGAAGTAGCGTACGTGCCATAGAGGTACGCCGCAATGAAGGTGTTGCGTCTGCAAACAAAAATCAGCTGTTCCTTATGGCCGCGTACTTGGGGTTTACACAGGTAAATTTTGCAGATACAATAGCAAAACATTCACACTTTGTTTACCAATATATTCACACTTTTCTTGATGTCTTCGTCACTGTCTCTGGCTTTTAGAAGACAGTTTATTGTCTGGATGCCTACTTTACTCAAACAATGTGACAATTAATGCATATTCTCATTTGTCTTGTGGTGTGTAAACGCAAGGCTATACAACTGTCAGCAGTGACGGACTCATGTGCGTCAAAATTTTAGTAATGGCCAATGTTCGTTGGGTCCGTCGACGCAAGGGTTGCCAATCTTGCGCTTTCTATGCAAACACACACAGGCTACTCAACTGTCAGTTTCATCCTTGAGCGGAACGTACGCAAAGTATTCATGCTGTCGGGGCCAGAGAACGTATATTATACTATATACGTTATTATATATATATTATATTATATTATATACGTATATTATATTATATACGTTCTCTGACGGGGCTATAAGGTAAAAGTGAAGGTGGACAACATGTTCGCCAGCAAAGGCGTCACGCCGCACAATGGGATTACAGGGGCCAAAATTAGTAAGAACGGATTATTAAATTACGAAAAGGCAATTATGGAGATTCATAGAACAATATAAAACTGCATAAATGCTGTCATAGGATGAGCTTAATGCAGATACAATGTAATAAATAAATAAGCCGGAAAACATTTTGATTTTGTCGCAAGTAATTTAGATTAATTTTTACACCAGTGCGGATATTGAATAAGCTAATCTGATTGATGATCAGTTTTTTCATATACCCGTGGCCAAGCATTACTTTAAATTTTTATATATATTTGCTGAAATTCATAATAGAGATTCACTTGAAATTTACATGATTTTGTGAGTATGAAATTTTTCAATTGCCTAATTTAAAAAGGGATATTTAAAAAGGCGAGAGAAATTATTCTAGGGATAAGTCATCATTAAGTATGCGTATCATATTTGAAATAGTTCCAGCTACGTTCAATTTTGATATAAGCTTGTATTGTTCGTTTTATAGACACCAAAGAACGTAAATCTATAAGAAGATACAACACGTTATAATTGTAGC